ATATATATATATATATATATATAAAATTAATATTTCTCTTCCAGGAGTTCAAATCCACATATTTTTCCAGTTATTCCTGACATTCTCCTCAAGTTTAGTAGCATGTAAACAGACAGTTCCTTAAGGAATATGACACATTCTGTTGCATCCCAGTTTTCCAGTTAAGACCACAGCTTCAAAATGAGTGATATGCACACACAGATATCACTATAGGATTTTTAAAAGAGGCTCTTACAAGATCATGCAAGAAAAAAAAAAAAAATAGCTACCATATAAGCTATCAAGAGATACTGTTCGACTTTGTCCAAAGTGTTTAAGAGTTCAGACAAACTTTTTTTTACTGATACTCTGGATACAATAACACTAACTCAACAGGGAGGAGAAAACTAGATGGGCAGTTGGCTTGACTTCTAGCTCTGCCTTCATATAAATCTTAAATATTACACTTACAGGAAACTATTTGCAAATCCTGTTTCCTGGATGCAAAATATTCCTCCTTTTCCATATAATTTTAGTTATGAAGATTCAGTTGACCTGAGGTGATGACAGTCTGATATTCCACATTTTTCAGTGATGCAGTATTCAGTAACTGATTTTCAGGTTAAATAATAGTTTTCTCTACTGCTCTAGTTATATTCAGCTAAGTCAGTCAGTCATGCTAAAGCACAATACAAAGATCTCCTAACCAAACAAAATTTAAAAATACTGAAATCCAATTAAAAAAAAAAAAAAAAAAAAAAAAAAAAAAAAAAAAAGAGGGGGGAAAATAGAAGAAAAAGGATGGTTTAAAGAAAAATAAAGTCCTAATTTAAAATTAAAAAGCCTTGCTTGAACGAAGTGTTGAACCGATAAAGGTGCCATTTGCACACTAGGAAGTACCACAGGATCCCGTTCTAGTCAAAGAGTAGCTGAGAGACCCAAAATATGGGTAAGGCAACAGTGCAATCAGAGCTCACATCAGACTGACACGTCAACAAGTCTCCAAACGGCCACAACTGACACTGTTCAGGTTTTCAAAGCAATCCTGAAAAAACACACAGGTATTATAAGAGACCTTTAAAAGCTACAGAATTAATTCACTGCAGGTGATCAGGATTTATGCTATAACTTCTCACACCCACTAAACTCAATACATGACAACCTGGGTGGTCTACAGCACCTTTCCCCAGCACTTCCCTGGCACTGACACACACTTTGGGTTGGCACCACTCCCTACGCCCCTCGATGTTCCTCTCATCCAACCCTTTACGTATTGCCAAAGGCAACACATGATATAGCCTGATGTGTCTTATAGTTAGAAGCATATTTAACCAATGACTGATTAACTTTTAATCATCCTTATAAGAACATTTTACATACTGGAAAACTATCATGCCCCTCCTCAACTTCCTTTTTCCCTCAGAAGAAACAAAGAGCAAAATTATTTCAATCATTTATAATTTTTGTGCTCTTCTCTGAACTCTATTCAATCGATGTTTTTCTTTAATTGTTTTACCCTGTAATTTCAACTGAATCTTTCTCATGAAGAATAGGAAGATATTATTATATCTCCTCATTAAAAGTCATATGACTACATTCCCGAAGTTGGAATTCACCTTTAAAAGGATCATATCACTGACTTTTATTCAGTTGTTGGTCCGCTATAGCTACCAGGAATCTATCCTATAGCAACAGTGCTTAAGGAAATATTTCTTAATTTTCAGTTTGTCCAATTCTTACTTGCTACAGTTCTTTGCTCTTGTCTCAGCAGAACACCATCTCACCAACTTCAGAACCTTCCTCTAATTTATCAAGATCAGAGTTACTACTTTTAATGTGCTTGAAACTATTGCTAACCATAATTTTAACATTTATGCTCCATATTCCATCACTGAAGCCACTGAAGAAAATAATGAACCAAGCCAGACTCAGCAGAGACCATGACATACCTCTAACATAACTACAATTTGGATTAACTATAATTTGGATTAACTACAAATACTGATAACTATATTCTGAAGGCATCATTCAAATAGTTGCACACTTAAAGATTATCATCAGCTTTTCAATGTGGCTTCAGGCAATTTCACTAAATTTCAGGGGTCACCATCTTGAACTTATTAAATGCAGCTTCTAGAAATCCAGCTTACTATTATAGTACTGCAATGCCAGAAGAGTCCTAGGCACTATCAAACAATCAAACTTTTTTTTTTTTTTTAAAGTTGGCAGCTACAGAAAGAGTTTCCACCATTAAGAAAAAGAACTGGCTTAAGAAAAATTGGCATTGAACAAAATACTCAAGCTAATGACAGCTACACTACCAAACAATTATGGGATGGTCTTTGGCTTGGCTTGGAGCTTTAACATCCTGAAGAACTTTCCCCTACATTTACAACCAATATTTAACCATATATCCTGACATAAATTCAATTCTCACCATTGCAGCGGGCGGAGGAAGCAAGCAGCCGATTCAATGTGAATGATAGAGCAAGCTTCAACTTTATTGAAAGAAATCACACCTTATATAAGCACTCTACAATACACTACTTGTAACTCTATTGGATACATTAAAAAAACTACATTTTAATATCTCAGATAATTGGGTACATCTAAAAGGTCACATTATAATATCCCAGCCCCTTGTGGCATTTCTGGTATGCATAAACATCTTTCTTGCTGTGAACCTGCTTCTCTCCCAGGGTTGTTTTCCTTCACCCCCAAGGTCATAATGTGCCCCAACTTATCTCACAACAGTCCTTGTTATCATCAATGTAGGCTGGGTTTTTTCCTCTCTTTACATCAGGTGTCTGTGACCGACTTCTGCAGGGAGCTATGGCCAACCAGCTCCTGCAGGGAGCTATGGCCTTGCTCTCTGCAAGCCGTTCTCCAACAATTCCCCGTTTTTCTTTTTTGTGCAGGCTGCACAAGCATAAATTTATTAATATTTCTCATTATACAACTATATGCTATTTTAATACTTACTAGAATCAATACTACTATTCTTAATCACCGCAATAAACTCTTAAAGGTACCCTATTAAGTACAAAGCATCACATATTAACTATATTCAAGGGATATGACTAAATACTACAAAATAAACAGTAAGGAAGGTACGGAATAGCACACTTTATTAATAGAAGTACTAACATTCAGATCCGCAATTGCTAGGGAACCCTGGATACAGCGAGAGTGTAGAGTGCCCTTCCTCACAAACTGGAAACCCTACGCCATGCGTCCATCCATAGGTGAGGCATCCAAAGTCGCTGCAACCAGGTTCAGCCTCTTAAAGCAACAGGCCAAAATAACTGGCAACTTTCTTTGAGCAGAAACATCTGATTTCATCCTCCTGTTGGGTTCCACCTGGAGCCTGGCCAGTACTCCAGGGGGAAAAACCAAGGGAGTTTCTAAATAAGGTTAAACACTTGAGGTCTTAATTCTTAATATTGCTAAACAAAAAAGTTGAATACACACATTATTACAGCATCTTATTCTTACTAATAACTATATTTTATCTAAAGTACATCTTGCACAAGTGACTAGTAAGTTTATATATGTCATTAAGGAGATACAATTACTGTTAGCATTTTCTCTTAAAAGAATTGGCAACTGTAGTGTGATTTATTCTGTTGCAGTAGCAAACATCACTCTGACATTCTGCTTAAATGATCAGTTGAAGAGATCACAAACTGTCAGCACAGGGGCACCCACAGCACCCACAGCTGAATCCTGAGTGCTGGCTGCCTCTCACCCTCAGGTGTGGTTGCACACACCCTGCTGGTGACCATTGGAGATGAGACCTGTGGAGACACAAGCATAATCTCTTCCCCAGGTTATTAAAGAAAATGGTCCTTCCCGGTTACCCCTTTCTAGGTTTTTTTGTTAACACTTGAGCTTTGCTTTGGACTTCTTGTTGATCTGGTATCTGTGATGAAAAATGACGCAATCCTGCTGGCACCTGTGAGACAGGGGAAATGTTTAAAATGTTCATGACATATAATGCCTTATTTAGCCTTTTGTGAGGTGTAGGTTGGTATCTTGCATCTTGCCCCTTTGTTGTTGTTGTTGTTGTAATAGACGCTTTAGCTTGCTAGGTGTGTGCTTCACAGTGGCCTGACCAGCCGGTGAATGGGGAATGCAGGTCAGATGCTTGACTCCCTGCTGTATGACAGGATGCAAACAGTGCTCCAGGAAAGGTATTAACAGACACATGTACATATTTTAACATCTGAAATGCAGCTGAGTGACAACAGATTGCTATAATTCTGAGGAGGTGAGTCCCCAAGGGTCGACACTACTTCCCTGTTGAAGAGATGGAGTCTTTCTGGTATTCAGGGCGAGTTGCAGTGATGTCTTTAGCCTGATGCCTTGATAAAGAAAACTGTTTTTGTATTGCTCTGGCATTCTGGTGGAAAAAATGCATGTGTTTTACAGCAGAGCGAATGGTTGACCTAGAGCCAAGATCTCTCCCCCTTTTTTTTTTTTTGCAAAGGCACTTTCAAGGTCTAGCGTGTTCTATCTATGATAGCTTGTCCTGTGGGAGAATGCAGTATACTTCCGATGCTTGTTAGCTATACGGTGAAGATCTTGTTTTGCCTTCTATGCAAGTACTTAGGGTGATGTCAGTGAAGGATCTTTTCATAAAATATCAAAAAAGCTATGCAGATCATCATGAGTTAGGCCCATGATGGCTGTATCTAATTTATGGTTCCTAACAGTGTCTGTAAATCTGTTAAAGTCTTAATAGCAGCTTTAAGTTGTTGCAGGACAATACACACAGGTGATTCGGTTTACAAGGTTAGTGTCAGGGTGGGTTTCAGGGTGGGTTGTGCTACAGCTGTCTCTTATACACAT